AAAAAAAAAGATATAGAACTAAAAAAAGTTTCTACTACTACAACAGGCAGTTGATAAATAAATTGCCTTTAGAGCTGAAAACGTACTTTATAGTAGTTTAAAATACGTTTTCAACTCTAAAGGCAATTTATTTATCAATTGTCTGTTGTAGTAGAAATTCAGTCTAACTTTTGACACGCTTTTGTACCTGCATCACTTGCATCAGATAGATCAAGCTATTGATCTAGATTATTGTCAACAAACGAACAGATCTGTTTGAGGTCTGTTGCAGATACATTTAACGTCATTTCATATTTTACTATTTCAATTTTTAGGTTTGTTAAATTGTTAAAATAATGTATTTTATTTCGCATATAAGCGTAAAAACTTTAAAAATGTTTTCAGTAAGCTTTTTTTTTCACTTTTTTTAATTTAATAGTCATTATATCGTATAAAATAGTCACGCAGATGCTGCGTCATTATAAGGTCATAAAAAATTTTTATGGTTTAGTATTTAGTTCTGGAGTTATATTTGGTTTCCTATAGCCATATTTAACCGAGTTTAAAAAACGTTGTTATAAGCTACTGAGTTATGTGCTATCATATTAATTGGTTACTTTTTAAGTCATAGGATAGGAGATAAGTTGCTATCAAAATTTTAGGCTTATTTACTTACTTAATACTATTAGTTTTTTTTTCTAAATGCCTAAATTATACGTACTTAAAGAACAGTTATTCAATAGCTTCTGCTTTTTTTGTTTTAAAAAATAAATACGAATTGAAATGAGGTAAGGTGTTTGTAAGTTTTTTTTCTATTCTTTTTTTGACATTTTAATAAAGTGAATACAATTGACATAAGATAAAATTTTTTGTCTACTGGAAATGTATAGAGCCAGGTAACTTTTGGTGCTTTAGTAAGAAAAATTAGTGAAGAAAACTGTAAGCTTTTAACTGATTTAAGAACCGCTAAAAACTGGCATTGGCATCAGCATTTATTTACTGTAGTTGAGAGATAAAATAAAAAAAAATTTAGCAGTTATTAAACCTTGAAAAACAATTTTTGGTAAAGCTTCTTTAGTTTTGTTAATACTTATATTGAGGCAGCAGTTTCTTTATTACACTGTTAATCGGTTTATAAAGTTTAGGCAGTTTAAAAATTATTATAAACTGTGCTTGATAATACAAACTTGAAACTGTTTTTAGTGCAATAAGCGTTACCTGTAACACTTCTGGGTACATTATAGGATATATTTACAATGTTTCGCTAAGTTTCGTTCAGTCGTTTTTAGAATACTTATAGAATTAACAATTGCTGTACAGTTTTTACTGTTTTTAAAAAAGAGAAAAAAAATTTTTGTTTAGGAAGCAATGAAATTACTAACAAATATTATTTGGCTAAAGTTGGTGATTATCTGCCTCCTTGGTCAGTGCTCAGCTTTATGCCCGGACAGCATTGCTGACCGGTGTTGGTGCAGTGAATATAAAATTACCGGTATGCAAATTTTTTGTCGACATTTCAACGGCAGTTTAAATTCACTGATTTCTTCGCTACAAACTGTTCGAATCGATCGGCTAACAGTACTTCGCTCAAAGTGGCCGGTAACTGTCATTCAAAATTTACTTCATGCATCTATACTGATCTGTATTACAGTTTTCAGGAGATAGACTCATAGCTTAAGATCACAGCAATTCTGCTTGCAGATTGTTCATTTTCTAATGCTTTTTTTTCTTGTAGGTAAGTAATTTTCT